GCCTCCAAATCCAAAGTTGTTAATTGGGCCTTGACGTAGCAGCATGCGGCTAACTGATGACGAGGTCCAGGAGTGCGTTTTTGTCAACAACTGGTACGTCTGCCGTGACGATGTGGAGGTCATTGAGGGATATCTCCAATTTGAATCAGGAGATCCTGGCCTTGCCATGGATCATACATCTGCACTTCAACATGCCGCGCGACGAACTTTAGCGTCCATCATAGGCGATTCGATGAATCCCGATGCCATCAAGACAACACTGACGATGGGTCCATCTGTGCAAATTGAAGCACCTGAGCGACGCCTTGCACCGTTGACGATGGAAGTGAGCATTTTCTTGATTTCGCCTGATCTATCCCGAGATGAGATCGAGCAAGGCTTCTCTGCCTATTCTCTGGATAACCTTTCTGCATTGTTTGTATCTACACTCGCAGAACTGTCAGTGGATGTCGCTGCCATGGGCATTTCGGTTTCAGGCATCGCCATCCCTTTTGCGTCTCGCCCGCCAGCATCCTAAAGGATGCAGGTGGCAGGAATGAAGCCAAGAGCTGGTGTTAATCGAGAAATTCGAGAAGCACCAACGTCTCATCCAAGAAAAAGTGCCCTTGCCTAGTGCAACGAGTTTGCTTGCAAATGGCACTTTTGGAAACATAAGCGTTTCACGGCATTCACGGCAGGCTAACAACCAGTACCCTGATCGAAACGGTGTTTGTGCATGGATTGGGCTGTGCTTGTCCCCTGTACCGTGCTGGATTATATGATCCAGCTCTAGCCTTGAACATTGTCGACCTGCGAAGTAGTTTCCGTACCTATGCTGCAGACTTGCGGCCCAAGCAAGCTCGAGTTGGGTTCCCATTCAGCTGAGATGCAGAATTGGGGGATTCCGGCATTCGGGAAGGGCAACACGCAGCCGCCGCCGGCCTACGGCAAAGCGAGCCCTGAACTCGCCCAAGCCTCTGGTCCATATGGAGATAAGGCAAAGCCAGAGCTGAAGCCAGGAGACTGGATTTGTCCACAGTGCGGAGATCACCAGTTTGCCCGGAATTGGTTCTGCAAGATGTGTGCACGCAGCGGTGGTGGCAATGACCCAATGGCTGCAATGATGGCCATGATGATGGCCGGTGGCTTCTCTGGTGGCAAGGGCAACCAAGTCAAAGGGGACCCTCAGTTCTTGGTGTATGTAGCCAACATTGATTGGAAGGCCCTCGATTTGAGCTTCTTGTGGTGTTTTCTAAGCTTGGTGTGCATGAAACTCGTGCCGGAAATCGCGAGGCACAATGGCAAGACCTGAAAGATCACATGAAGCAAGCAGGGACTGTGCAGTTTTGTTCCATCCTGACAGAAGATGGGACCGACTGGGGCAGGCGGGGTCTTTTGGCGGATCTTTGCCGTCTCTTGCGATCTTGCTTGATGCCGGGGGTGCAATGTTGTGCAGGTCAAAGGGCATGGCGTGCGTGCGGTACGCAACAGTTGAAGAGGCAGCAAACGCCGTAGCGCCGCTTACCGTAAAACAGTTCATATTCTTTTACCTTCTTGCAGCTAGGCAGGTGCCTGAGAAGCCAAGGACCCTCAATGGATCTGAGTTCAAAGGTCGGCCCCTAAAAGTGGACCATTGGACGCCCCTTGGCTTCAACATCTTGACGCCGCGGCTGTCAGCAAGAAGCCCTGTCGTGCCAAGGGGCAAGACGGCAAGCGCGTGAGACGGTTGCAGACGGGCGGCATTTCGTAGACCATGCTAACCAATGAAACCAATGCGCAGAGTCTTTACTTGAAGTACATACTCTAGGACAACAAATGTCAAACCTCTTGCCGTAACCAAAGAAATAGGCAAGGGCCTGGACCAACTGTTTGAGTCTGAGCCAAGTACGCAAGCATCGCCAGCAAGTGCCGAAAACTGGCAGCTTTCGATGTGCATGCTACTGTAGAAGCACTTCCACCTCCATTGGGGCTGCTGACAATCAGATCATTCATCTACCGACCCAGCCTAGCAAGACTGAATTGAGGTGAAGATATGTGCCAGGCTTACTGGTCAGAAGAAAAACAGGTCCATGTCCCAACGAGCAGGCGGTGCCATCGGTGCCATGGTCGCCCCCGTGAGTTACTTTCGTTTTGCCTGAGATGCCCACGACTCGACCGGTTTGGGACAAGGCTTTGTCTAGCTTCATTCTGGTTTTTGATGATGACTGGACTGTCCGGGTGCCGGGCTCCGCCGGCTCTGAAAGCCCGTTGGCCCTGGTTCCAGCAGAGTATGTGGGCGATGAGTTCATGATAAGGGTGATGGAGTTCCCAGGCGAGGGAAACTCGATCTCCGTGGGTGGCTTATTCTTCACTGGCAAGGAATCGCCATGCCAAGCGGGGGATCTGGGCTTCTTGCCTCAGTCCTTTGGCATACGCAGTCAGAGTGTGGCGAGTTCGCAGGCCGGCACAAAGGGAAGCCGGCGTGAAGGTGTAGGGTTGAGGCAGGGCGACTGCATCATGGTGCGATGGACTGGCACAGGCAGCGCGGAAGTGTTTGTGAATTCTTGTCGCATTTGGCACGGAAGTCTCCTTGCCCCGGCACGGGCACGTCGGTTCTTTGGGGCATCTGTTGCAGACAATGCAGTTCTTCGGATCGAGGCGACGCAGAAGCACTGCCGACCGCCGCTTTGTTATGCAGAGTGCCTGCTGCGCACCCCCCTCTTCTCCGACGTCCAAATCATCTGCTCGGATGGCTGCGTCCTTCACTCGCACAAAGCTTTGCTAGCAGCCAGCTCATCTGTTTTCTGTCGAATGTTCGAGTCTGAGATGCTGGAGTCCAGGGAGAACTGTGTTAGGATTCCAGCACCAAGGGAAGTAGTGTCAGGCTTTCTACAGCACATATACACAGGCGTGTTCGATCCCAATGTCGATGCTTCTGCTCTCATTGAACTTGCGCACATGTATGACCTGCAAGATTTGGCACAATTCTGTGGTGAAGTGCTGGTGGACAACCTGGCACCTGCAAACGTCAGCCAGTGCGCTCGCAAGATTGGGCGCCTGCGAGGAAATGGGCAGGACTTTGCGGGCTATGGTGGCAGCCCTGGTGGTTCTGTTGAGTCGCACAATGAAGATGTCTTTGAACAGATCTGGAGACGGCTGAGTGACCGCATCGAGCGCGATCCAGGGCTGGTGAGGGCACTTCTGGAGGGACATGTTCATGAGCGTGAGCAATGAGTCTAGTCTTGCCAATGAGACAGCGAGAGACCGTAAAGATGCTTCAGCAACCATCCTGGTGTTGGGTTTCCAATGAGTTCTTTTGGTTTGCTTGGGATTCACGGATGCTTCGGTCCATTCGGCTTCTTGCTTCAATTGCATAAGGCATGAACAATACATGCAGCTTTGAATGGGTTATTGATGCTGTCCTGCAAGCGGGACACTGCAGCATATTCAGCCGTATAGGGCGGGGGCTGCATATAGATCGTCCTCCGCTTGGCTTCCTGCCAAGCGAGTGTGCGGCCAGACCCTCAGCCAAAGCTTAAAGTTCAACAGTCTGTGATCACAGTCGTGTGCTCATTTTCCAGCCCAGATCTAGAGCCTTGCAACTCTCAACACACCCGAGGTGCACGCACAACATGATGAAAGCAGCTAGAGAGCGATTGGGACTCTCTCTTTCGGTGTCTACAGCGGTGCCCTGGCCTGCAAGCTGATTTCGAAGATGGTGTAAAGCATCAATTATCTGCATAGCTTATCTTCATCATGTCTTGTTTGTTGAGAGGCTTTCTGCTATGTTCTGCTCAACTGAGGACCAAACACAGGGCGCCAAAGTCCAGCACCAGTGTAAGATTCAGGAAGACAGGGGAGTGTTTATGCATTGTTTTAATAGAAAAGTTTGTCGTTCATAGTTTTTCTATTGTATTGGTGTTTGGGGTGATGTTCTTGGGTTGATGATGTGGGGTCAAGATGGAGGTCCGTTTCAGGTTTGCGGGTCAGGCATTTAATGGCTAAGTGTTTAAGTAGACCGTAAACCTTCACTCTTAAGCCGGTGGCCCTAAAAAAACCGCATTTTTTCAGCCCGAAACCCTAAGCTTGATTAAGCCCGAACCCAACCCTGAAGCCCGAACCAGCACGCTGCTTTCCGCGCTTTGCCTTTATTTGCCCTTATTTGCCTTATTTCCTAACCCTTGGTGTGGGGTTGCTAGACTTTCACTGTAGCTCTCCTTATCCCTTGAGAACCACCCCTAGAGATTCTTGTAAACACTGGTGCTTGCTTAGACTTAGAGTGGGGATCGTCGAACTCACTTTATGCTTACTTGTTCTCGCTCGTCTTTATATTGTGCTGGTCCATTTTTTCTGTATTGTTTCTCGATATGTATTTGCGACCCTGAGGATCTAGACCCCGCTTAGATGACAAGCATGTGCCAGGGAGGCTGTTGGGCAAGTATATGTAGAATGCAAGTTTATATAGGGCTTGAGGAGTTCTTCCACATGCTCCATCCCACAGTTCAGCGTGTTCGGCTTGCAGCTGAATTCGGCAGTGCGCAGGCCACGTCTGAGGGAGAAGTCGCTCGCCGAAGCTTGTCTAAACCAGAGCCTGGGCTTTGCAGCAGTCAGAGGCTGCTTTGCAAGCCTTGTCTCCTGAGGATACAAGCTTGGTGGAATGGCTTCTCGTCCTTATGGCATGCGAGTATGAGATTTACTGCATGCTGGCTCACCAGATTGGTGGTGCACCGCAGAGCTGCGCATTCTTGCCTGAGGTCATGGAATCCACAAACCGAGGGATGGAAGTTCTTTGGGCCACGAGGCTAGCCGATGGGAAGGAGTGCGTGGTGAAGACGAGACAGAAGGCCCCTTTGCGTTGCACAACCGCCGCAGACTTGAAACAGTCTGCGTAGGGGGGGTGGGGGGAGGGGGAGGCGGAGGGGGAGGCGTCTCTTCTTGCCACTCAATCTTCCTGACCAGGGGACATCTTTCAAGAGTGCCACAGAAGAAAGGAATTGGCGAAGCACCACGGAGGTTCAGATGAGCATGCCGCAGCTTGGCACACACTTGGTCGCAGAACTGGATGCGCCATGTGCGGGCAGTGTACGTGCTTTTAAAGTCATCTTCATGCAGCTCAACACCTAGAGAAGCGGCCTAAGTGGGAGGGAGGGCAGCCCCCAGGCCTGGGAGTGGTCGTAGTAGGAGCAGGAGGCCTACCACTTATGGCTGCGAGCGTTGACAAAATCTTTTGCTTCAGGAGAATTGACAAGCTGTGTCAGATCTACGAGGCTTTTTGCCCCTTGCTGTTTGCAGACAGCAGAAATGGAGTCCAGTGGCTTTTAGCACCTGCACAAACGTTTGAGCAGGTGCTGGAAACACCAGAAAGATATTGTGTTTTCATGGAAAAAGTTGAAGGCCGGGGCCGTGCGTTCAAGCAGTTCCTGTAGCCACGTTTGTGCATGCCTGCCAATTGCTCTTGTGTTGGCCAGGAAAGGATCTCTTTGAACAAATGGAGGAGGCCGAGCTGAGCCATATTGATGCACGAGAAGTGGTCTTCTGGCTGAAGCATCCAAGTCTGGAAAAAGATGAAGCGAACCTTGCATGGGAGAGCTCCAGCTTTGAATTCCGAGGTGAGACAAACATTGGAAGCTCTAAAGGTGATGCCGCCTGGCACTGTCAAAAGGGCGGCATGGCCCAGATTGTTTGGAGGCCTTTGCGATTCTTTCCTTCCTCAGGCATGCGAGTGGACGCATTCACAAAGACCTCAAGGCGGAAAATGTCATGGTGGATCTGCCAAGCCCGGGGTCAGAGAAGCTAAGCTCGATTTTGTAACACACATTTCTTCTTCGGCTGCATGCTGATGAGCCGCGGGATTGGGCAGTTGCTTTGGCGATCTCTGAAGTTGTCACAAGGAAGGCAAAAGCCAACCAACTGCATCGCTTGCAAGATGGTGGTGATGCCCAAAGCCCCGCGAGCGTGAAACTCATTGATTTCGATACCGCCTCTTGGCTGAGCTGTGCTCGTAGAGGGAGCCGCGTCAGCCACATCAACCTTCTGCGTGCAGCAACTTCAAGGGGCGGACGATCTTTTTGCTGCCCAGGTGGAGAACTGGGAACCGCACAGCCCCAAAGCCAAAGATGTTCTTGGCACAGATGGCTACATCGCCCCAGAAGCCTACTTGGGTGCCGTGCGCTGCAGGGGGGACGTTCTCCCTTCAAACTCCGTATCGCTAGCGATAGATGGGAGATAGTCTGGCCTCGCCCTATTTCTTCGTGGGCCGAAATTCTGAGGATCCTACTCACCGGCTTCGGACATTTATTCGCTGGGAGTGGCGATGTCCTTACCATTTCCTTTGCTCTCCAAGCTGCTGGCGCGAGGGCACCCTACCGCCTGTACACGCTACGCTGCCTAGGTGATGTATAAATTGATCACAGGCAAGTTTCCGAGCCGCGTCCAGCTGGCATGTTTTCGACATAGTTCTCACCGTGTGACCACTACGTGGCCACTCGAGGAAGACATGTTCGATGACCAGCCCGGCGAGAACTGGGTCGGAAGTCCTGCAATGAAGAGGTGAGTGTGGACGTGAGATCCAAAACCTAAGCCGCAGCCATGCCGCGCCCCAGGATTCATGAACGATTGAAGAAGGCAAAGTGCCTTGGCTGCAGCCTTCCCAAAAGTGCCTTAGAAGGGTTATGAGCGCATCTCCGAAACACAAAACATCTTGATGGCTCAGGATTGACTTTGCGAGATCACCCTTTGATCGTTGCCCGGAAGCTGCAACTTGTTCACGGTTGGAACCAGAAGCTGTTGCGCCCATCATGCCAAGCCAAGCTTAACGTAGTAGCACATGCAGCCCATGCACTGCACAAACTCCGAGCATGTGGAGCTGTCCTGTGCGACCTGAGGCGGATCTTTGCGCACGGATGTTGGCTTTCGAGTCTATAGACCGACCGTCGGCAGAAGCTGCCCTCAAGCACGTGACTGGTCTGCACTTGACACCTGCAACATGCACGTCAGGGCTGTGAAGGCAACTTCTGGTGTGTTGCTGGAAATAACAAACAACAGCACTTGCCTACCAGATCCTACCAGGCCTACTTCATGTTGGAGGGCGCGAAGCTGCCAAGACGAAGATAACACTATGCCACTATGCTCAAGACTGCAATGCTCGGCCGAATGCTTGTAACCGACATCAACTCATCTTGGTGCTGAGGCCGTGTGGAGTGCGCGTGCTGGGGAAAGTGACGCTGGACGCGTCTTCCCTCGATGCCACGTCTTCGCTTTGAGTACAGAGTCTACCAGTGGAGTTGCAAGCCTGGCTGCGATGCTTAAAATCTGTCATCGTGTTTTGTAGTGATAATATCGTGTCATCGTGCGGAACCCCTCCAACTGGCAGCTGCTCTCAAAAGCGCTACAGGCTGGATTCTTTAGTGGGGTTTCCGAAGGAAACCACATGCGAGCCCAACTTTGCAATCAATATAGGGTTCGCTTCCGGCTGGCGTATTTGCCCTTGCGTGGATCTGCAAAGTGGTGTAAACAGTTGGCACAGGAAACATGTGTTAAACACAAGGTCGCGTTTCGCAGCAAGGGCCGTCCTGATCAGACCAGTTTGAAGCCCGAGGGCTGCGGGATTTGATAGGTAGAGACCAAAGCGGTTTACTCAGATTTCGCAGGCCTTGTCTGCAAGTGTGTCATGCAAGTGAGGCGAAAAGAGGATTAACCGGACCTCAGTGCGCAGCCATACATGTGCATGATGGCACCGGGTTGGAATTGCATGGTGTGGGAGGTCACATGCTTGCCACAAGCGCGAAAGGCTTGAGCTCGAGTGTGTATGAAGAGTCGGTACAAGGCACATCACAACAAGGATGTTCAATCTGAAGCCGCGTCCGGAGTCTGCAGTTTTCACGTGAACCCTGACATCTGACATCCCGGGTTCCGGGCCTTAATTCCCCCCCCCCCCCCCCCCCCCACCCCCACCCCCCCCCATGCTATCAGAACCGGTTTCGCCGGCGTTTGTCTTCACTGTTGCAGCTTTTTATCTTCGCGTTCCAAAAGTGCCTCCCCTCCTATGCCTAATTCAAGCCCTTATGCCCTCCGCCAACTTAGGGGAATGGGGGGGTTGCGAAAACCCCAAACCCAAACCCCCGCATACTCTTCACGTTCCCAAACAGCCCAAGCCAATGCCAGCCTCATACAGGGAGAAAGCCCCAAAGTCCCGTCAGAGAGGTGGGAAGCCACCGAGGCTTTCTGGTTTGCCGGTCTGATGCCTCGCGCATCAGCCATGGCGGTGAGGGGGGGCGGGGGGGGGGTAACCCACATGGGATCATCTCCAGCCCAAAATCATGCCACGGGTTTTAGGTGAGTCATTTTGTAGTATAAATTGTGTAATTCCCATTAGTGCCTTCTTACCGATTTTCGGTGGCTTCTTGTACACAGATGCGGCATGATATGGCGATCTGCGCTCCAGACCCCGCACCCCAGTCATGGACTTCTACTAAACTTCATAATACCCATTACATGAGGATCCAAACCCAATTTGCGTGCCTTCCGGCCAGAAGAGTGTGGTGGATTTTTTGTTGAAGCTGATCTAGAACGCTAGCTTCGCACCTTTCAGAATGGGAAATCGCTGGAAAAAGCCTGCATTCACTTTGGAAGTCTTCGGTGGCTCGCTTGCCCGCTGAGCGCTGAGGCTTGAGTTGTGCTTTTGTTGGAGTGGTTGGGGCTTCGGGCTGGGCTGTGGGCTTGGGGGTATGGTGTAGGGTGCCCAGCCTAAACCGGGAGCATCCAAAAGGCTGGTGGGCATTGGATTTCGGGTTAGTGTCTAGATCTTGTCAGACGAGTCCTCTTCCTGAACAGCTACGGGCTAACCCTAAACCTGAAGCCCGCCAGCAAGCCCTCCAAAACTCTTTGGGGCTTCGCGTTAACTGCTAATTGTTTGGGGGGGAGGGGTGCGAAAATTGTCCACACCTGAGAAAAAGGGAAAGAACGCATGTGGTATGGCCATGCTGGCCAGCATTCCCATTGTTCAACTCTTGTCTTGCAATCTTGGGGGCATGTGTGCGAGGCGAGAGCCTACTACCAATTACAAGTGCTTGCATCCAAGTCTGTGGTATGTTGCGTCGGAGCCGAATCATGGCTCCAAGGCGTTTGTACGACCTGGTCTGGCATGTTTCAATTGGGGCAAGCAAGGAGAGCACACATAGACCAGACGTTGCGGACCTACCTGTTCACATGTTCCTGCGTCGCAGAAACCCAGAAGCCTGAAGACTTGGAAAGCTGTTGGCATGAATGGGATGCCATGACCCTGAACCAGCGGGGCCATGGTGGTAGCGCTGTTGGTGGCTTTTGCAGCCTTTGCGCTTCTCTTCACCCTGGGAGCCGCACGGCCCAATGCCTGTTGCTGGCTGTGGGGTCAAAGTACAGTCCTACTAAACCAAGGTTTGCTGGTTTTGGCCAGACTATGTCGATGGCAGTGCCTTGTCACCGAAAGCTGGTCGCAGAAGCTGGCGACAGCAACTGCAGCTGTTTCTCAGCGGCTCTGCCTAGTGCTGTGGCACATAAGGAATTAAGGAACGCCAGTACCCTTCATCGTTCCAGCCGCCGTGGGTGAGAAACCAGGGGGAGTGAGGGCTGGGTGGGGCTCCGAGGAGGGGGTGCGGCATTGGGAATGTTGTGGGGGAGGGGGTAGTGACGGTTGCAGGGTGCCCCAGCGTCAGTCTAATCTATTCCCCTATCCATCTAACCCCCCCCCCCCCCACCCACCTCAAATTTTGTAATGTCCAGCTATCTAATCCATCTCCCCCCCCCCCCCCCTACCTAAAATTTTGTACGGGTCCAGGTCCGCCCGTCAGCCACTATCTATCTATCTAACACCCCCCCCCGGGCTAAAAATTTTACGGCCACCTAAACTTTGTTGCGGGTCCAGGTCCGCCCGTCTATCTATCTATCTAACCCTCCCCCCCCCCCCCAAACAAAATACAAAATATATACGTCCCTCAGGCGCTGTCTCTATCTAACCCTCCCTGCTGCCATGTCCGTCAGACTGCGGCCTATCTACTATCTACCCGCCCCCCCCCCCCCCTCCCACCGAATGTTTTACCGTCCAGGTCCCCCCGTCGATCCTTCTATCTACACACTATCTCCTTTATCCTCAACCCCCCTGCGGGTCCAACCCGTCAGCCGCCCGTCTATCACGCTATCTATCCAATTTCCCCCCCCCCCCCGCCCTCTAACCCCCCGCTTTCCGTCAGTCAATCGATCTATCTACGCACCCCCTCGCCCCCCCCCCCACAAACTCTCTGTCCCCCCCCCCACTCCCCCCGCACCCCCCCCCCCCCAGCTCTCTCAAGTCCATTTGTTTGGCCAGCCGCGACCATCTTTTGTATCTCATCTTCTATCCTCCCCCCCCCCCCCCCCGCCCTACAGGTCCGGTTCCGCTCCTCCGGGCAGTGGCTATCTATTAACAATCCCCGCCCTCCCCCCGCCGCTAAAAATTGTACGCCCTCCACCCCCGTCTATCTATCTATGTACCTAACCTTCCCCCCCCCCGCACAATTTTGCACCCGTCAGGCACTATCTCTATCTAACCCCCCTGCGGGTCCAGGTCCGTCAGACCGCTCGTCGATCTATCTACTCTCCCCCCCCTCTATCTAACCCCCTGCGGGTTCAGGTCCGCTACTAAAAAAATGCTACCTGAATACAGCGAATATGGGAACTACATACAAATTTACAATACGCAAAGACACCTAGTTCCAGCATTGCTTGAACTCACGAAGCTGTTTTCCTTGTGAATACTACTGAAAGAAGAAGAGTTACGATTCACATATTCAATCCAAAAAGCACAGCCTGCAGAGACGAGCCAAGAAAAGCGTTTTTGTTTAGTAAAAGCCATAGCACTCGGAAAGCCAATTAAAGCCCAAACCAATCAAAAATCCAAGCTTGTCGGGGGCATCTCTGGGACAAGTTATTGGGTCATCATGGGTTGTCGTGTTTTCCTAGGCAGATCGTCTCCCAAATCTACAGGCAAACAGTGATTTGTTTTCCGGACAAATGAGGCATGTTGATCAAATATGCCAATTAGATACTTCTGAGTACAAGTTATTCTTTTTCCGTAACAATAAAGAAGCTCATTGCATACCAATTAAACACCCGTTACGTACGGAGTTTAAGATTGAACATCAATGAAATAGTCGAGTATTGCTTGACGACTAATGACAAGATTAATTGAACATTAGACAACAACCAGCAAGCCAAAACCACAAAAAAACTACAAAACACAAAAAACATCGGGAACTCCTGGGAACGATACTTTTAAGCCCTGGCTTCAAGAGTTACAGATGTTTTTTTTTTTGTTTTTTTCACAGCTTTTGTTCTGGGTTTGACTTTTTAGTTTGCTTTTTGGGTTTGTTTAGTTCGTTTTGTGTTTGATTGGTTTGGTTAGTGGTTTTGCCCTTTTGTTTTTTTTTTTAAATTGTATTTCAAGGATACGCAGAAGTAGCAAAACACATCGCGAAGTTCAAGCAACGCACGTAAGGCACTCCGGAGACTTGCTTGAAATAGTTTTGCGTGGTACTCTCGCGACCGAGCCGAGAGCCAAGGTGATCCACCAAAAGTGCGGCGCATCCTCATTGCGGTGGTGCTGGCGTCACTTGTCTGAAGTCGACCACGCACGGTAGTCCATTGAATCTGGCTTAGGCATGGCCAAGGAGTGCCACCATCTTGGAAATCAGCCGTTGCTGATTAAGGCTGACCTTTGAAGAAACCTTGCTCTACATTGGAGGTGTTGTTGGCTTCCGCAGCCTACTCGCTGCTTGGTGCGATTGTCAGGGATCAAGGATCCCACCTTTCCAGATTGGGATCATCTCAGGTAATTTTAATCTGCAACATATGGGGGCACTTGGATGCCTCCCTCCGGTACCCCATCGTGCACGACCTTGACAGCTGCTTGGCCTCTGATCCAGTGGCCCAGCAAAGCACGAATCAGCCCGGTGTCACAAACTGTTGGAACCCAAGGCTTCTTTGCCTTGAAGCAGCTCTTCTTGGTGCTCCTGAAGACGGCAGGTCGGCTCCTTTTTTGCACGAACGACCAACGAGCGGAATCCGCTGCCCTGTGAGGATACCTTTTGGGCTTCCGGGAGGTCACGAAAAACTTGGGTTGGGTGGTTCTCGCACTCCTCGTAAATGTCCGCGCCTTCATCCAGCGGGTACTCGTCACCGCCACCGCTTGTGCAGAGAAACTCAGGTCTGCACGGTCCCCATTATATGGCTGACAGCCTTGCCAATTGGGGATGTGAGTAGCTACCATCAGAAGCATGATGTGCTCCAGCCTTACTGGTCCGCTTCAAGTGCAGTGGAGCCTAGCGCATGCACCTGGCAGTTGTGAGGCTCGATGAAGACTTGGCAGTGCGCCTCTGGCATCGAAGCGGCACACAAGTGGACGGCAGCTGATGTTGATGCAAAAGTCTTTTTGGTGAGGGAATGCGTAGCTTGACTGTTAAGCAAGTTGCGGTAGCAGAGGTGTTTCGCAACCGTCAGCACTGAACGGGCGGCAGCCATGGCACGGTGGAAGGCCAGTTTGGAGTCGGAGGTGAAGAGCAGTGAAGAGGCAGTGAAAAGCAGTGAAGATCTGTGAAACGGACAGGCAATGGCTCGAAGAGCTCTTGCAGACGTGGCGCGAGCAGCACGAGCCCAATTGCTGATCGGCTTGTTACGGCCAGGTTTGGATGTGCACTGCGAACCTCAGGTTCCGATGCTGAAGCCTGCTGCCTTGCGCATTGCCCCGGGCTGAGTCTCTGTCTTGCCGGTGGGAATTGATCAGTGCCCTCCTCCCTCTCGCTGACAGGACCCAGCCCTGGTGAGAATTCTCAAGGCAGGCAAAGTGCGTACAACCACAGATGCAACTGTCACATCTGTCACGGTTCATGGCGCATGATTCTGACAATTGACAATGACCCTTCAGGCAAATTCCGTGTGATATCTAGCTTCCCTCGGCCTGCATGGCTCTGCACATTGCAAGCGGGCTTGCGCTTAACTTTTGTCATCTTGTGCAACACGCACAGAGTGGTTCCTAGAGGAGCGCTTGTCAAAGAGGACATCGCTGTTGCATCGGTGACATAGGATGCCCGAGAAATCGTTGAGCGCTTGCTGAAGCAGCCAGACCCAGCATTGGTCATGCGAAGGGGTTCGGGGGAAGCAGTGCTTGATGCTGACAGGTCAGTTTGGTAACATGCGTCTGGTTTTCATGCCGGGACAATGTGGAACATTTGCATGAACAGCCAAGTGGCGTGCAGAGGCGAAAGGAGTTGAACGTGCAATTGTGCACGTCCTTTTAAGGAGGCTCCCGGTGACTTGCTGCCATTTTGTCTCAATGCAGAACGGGACCTAGACGTTGTGGACGTGGGCAAGGCCATGCATGCCGCTTTTCGATTGTTTGTTTGTTTCCTCTCTCTTCTCTCTCTCTCTCTCCGTCTGTTTGTGCACTTCAATGTGTGCGCTAATTACAAGCTCACGAGTTGGCATGCCAAATTTTGCTTTTGGAAGTGCCATGAAATTTCCCGGGGGCCTTCATGGAAATGGTCCGGACTGCTTGAAATGGCCTTGCTGGGAATGTCATAAACATTGTCTGGACCATTCTTCGCACCGACTCACACCGCGACGCTCGCCATGTCGCATCATACTGCACTGCAACCAACGGCACTGCACCACTGCAGGCACCGACTGCCAGCACCGACTCACGCCACGACACACGAGCCGCCACATACAGGTGCAAACAATCCGAAACACTTCGGCACCAATGACGCTACGCGTACGCACCACTGCCGGTCACGACGCTCGAAGATGCGGCACCACCTGCACCACTTCGAGCACGGGTCACGACGCTAGACCACTTGCACTACTTCGAGGTGCGTTTGGAGTTCAGTTTGGCTTTAGGGCTTGGGGGGTGGTGTGGGGTTTTGGGGTTGGAGTTGAGTTCTGGTTAAGGGTTCAGGGTACAGAGCAAAGGGTTGAGGTGAAGCTGCGCAAGCAATCCGATGCACATCGGCCGACACACATCACCGCTCTTCATGCAACGGCAACCCAAAAAGGAAATAGACATGTGCGGCCGTTCGTTTTATTTTACTAGAGCCTGTATTTATAGTTTGGCTCGCCCCATACCCACAGGCACTGACATCCCTGTCTCGACAATACCCCGTATGCGCGTTCACAGTCAATTCATCGCACGCTCTGGAGTAGTTCACTGGGTTGCCAACATGCAAGAAGCTCTTCCGTAGCACTTCCATTCGAGCATTCTCAAAGCCAGCTTGAGCTTGCTAGTTCGGGATGTTTGCATTGCATAGGGCATTCTGGTCGCCCAAAAATGTGAGCGCTCCTCGGGGTTTGAGACTTTTATTTCTGTCGGCTATTGGGTGCTGGCATTGTGCTGGTTGATCGCTGTGTGTCATGTGCTGGCTGCAGATCTCACATCCAACCGCACGGCCGCCATGCCCAAGCAGACGCTCAACTGCTGTTTGTGTTGGTGGAGGTGTTTGTTGTTTGCTCTTGCACATGTGCTACATCTATTCTGGCCCAGCCTAGGATCACTGAGATTCGACAATTTCTGCAGATTGCCCGTCGGAAGGATTTTGATTTGACAGCGCTTCCTAGGATTCCTAGCAAGGGTAGCCGGTGGACGATGGACACGACGAATATGAGGGCTCAGGTTGTAAGCAGGTTCATGCCGTGGTGATTCTATCCTGCTTCTTTTCTGTCAGGACGCACGCTCGGTCAAGATCAAGAAGAACGGAACCCAGACGAAGTTCAAGATCCGCTGCAGCACCTGCGCCGCACTTGCTAGTGATGGCCAGTGTGTTTCATTGGTCTGTGCCTTGTGCTTCCTTTCAACCGCCACTTCATCCTGAGGCAGATATCTCTACACCCTGATCATGACTGACAAGACCAAAGCGGAGAAGTTGAAGTGGCCCAGCTGCAAAAGGGCGAAAGGGACATCCTAGATTCCTCGAATCCGATGGAAGCCCTGTGTGGAAGGCAGTCCTTGCCTCCGTCACTGCAGAAGAAGGAGATCTGAGCGGCAAAGTGCGGACAGCAGCTGGCAGTTCTGCAACAGAAAAAAACGGCAGCTCAAGAGGTTGCTGAGAATGTGTGGGTTCTACAAGTCTGGACGCAAGAGATTGGGAAGGTTCAGCCCGGTTCGACCTGGTTCGACGAGAGGAGAGCCGGACCTTGCTTGAGAGGCCGAACCCTGAGCCTGAAGCTGAAATGAGCGAAGATTCAGAGTTTGCTACCGTTTCTTAAGACTCTTGTTAAGATGAAATGGGGACTTGATCGATGCATTCGTTGCTGCTCAAAGCAGATTCTTTGATCATATGCATATAGGAAGAAGGATGAATTCTGAAATGGCTTCCCAACGCGCCTTTACGTGAATGACGTCTGTGTGACCAAATCTGATGGCGGTTTGTGCCCGGATGGCGAAGCGCAGTCTGGTGTGTCTGACTGTGGTGGTGGCTCTGCCAATGGTGGGGTCGTTGGACACACTTGATGCAGAACCCCCGCCTGCTGAAATGCCCAAGAGCAGGCCCGACCAGGAGGGTGACATCATCGCCCTCCGACTTTTCAGCCCTGTGCGGTCTACGACACAAGAAGCTATCAAAGCAGAGGTCATTGCCGCCGAGGCAGCTTTGGAGATGCGGGCTGAAGTTGACGGTCTCCCGGTGGTCTATGACTCGCCCGCTGTGTCTATTTCTTTGCGGAAGGTGAGCCCTGATGCCTTGATGCAAAACGGTGCAGAAGTCGAAGCACCTGATGGTGCATCTGTAAAGATACCCGCAGATCCTCGCATCAAGGGCCGACATGGAGGTCCCGTGACTGTGACTGTGACTAGCTATCATGCTGGTGATGCTGTAAAGGAAATGCCAAAGGTGAAGTATGGGGCACAGCAGCAGATGCAACCAGAATCAAAACTCACTGGCGTGGAAGCAAATGCAAGCCTTGCAGAAGACGACAATGCATCAAACAGGACACACAACAACACAAAGAACGATCGTGTTGATTTCTTCATGACGAAGACCAGCGTCAGCTGGCGCGGGACCGTAGATGTCAAGGTGCCTGGGTTGTCAGCCCAAGTACCTGCACACGATCGACCCTGGACTCCGTATGGCGAAAGCGTGCTGTATCCGGAAGAGAAGGCAGCAGTGCGAGAAGAATTGGAGCGTCTGGCAGCGCTGCCGGACAATGATGATCGGCTTCGAGGTTGTCGGAAGTTGGCAAGACAGTGGCATCCGGACAAGCACCCTCCTGAAGAACGTGAGAAAGCGACAGAAATCTTTGAGTACATGCAGGAGCTCCGTTTGGCCCTAGGCTTGTCAGTACGGACCCAAGCAGAGGATTCTCAGCAAGCATAAGAGGCATAGCGTCTTGGAAGCTGAAGCTCAACATGGCATAGGGCCACGCCATGCTACGCCGCAGAAGTGATGGAAACATGGATGGTCATCTCACCTTGCCCATCTTCGCAGCCCAGACTGACTAATGCGCGATTTCAGAGGAAGATGGCTGCCACAACGTGAAAGGCGCCGCGAACCAGAGCCGACAGAAGGTGCCACGAGTTGTGATCAAAATGTAGGGGCTCACTCGTTTTGACTTGCCCAGGCTCCTCTGTTAATGGCTGAAGTGTTTTTGACTTTCTCAGAAGAAGTGAACTTGAAGGCAGACCACCTAACCATTGAATCTGCATGAGCACGCCGATGGATCAGCCAAGACAGCTGGGCTTCATGACCAGCACAAATGCATGGGTCAAGATGACATGGTGATGTTGAGCATGCAGTTGCTTGTTTCCAACTTGGACCCATCTAGTTTCAGTGCAGGCGCTGTGAAATTTAGTTGCTTGCAGCCGCTTCGTTCTGTCCGCATCAAAGTTTTGATGGTACGGACCCATGCGCAGCACTGCACAGTCATATTCGGTAGACAGGAGACAGGAAAGCATGAGCCAGCCTATCCCATGGCGCATGTTGATTCCGAAAAACTCGGTCCCCACGGTGTGTGGTCTGGACAGCAGCCAGTCCGTGCAACATCCAGGTGGTGCAACAGTGTGGCTCTGCTTAAGCATCGTCAGCATTTGCAAAGCCGTGTAGCGCGACACTCCAAGCACAAGCGCGCCAGACACTGGCTGAGGTCTGTATCAGCTGAAGATGAGGCACCCACGTCCTTGAGCTACTTGCATTGCTTTGGGATCTCGATAAGGGGTGTCAACATGATGCTCATGGTGGAGACTTCTGCAAAAACTGCCCCACCTGATCGCCTGAGGTGACAAGATCTTAACTATAACAGGTGCCAGAGAGCAGAAAGAGCTTGCGTTGACAAGCATCGTAGCCGACCTCTTTGAATTTCAAGGACTGTCGGTGCCCACGAATGTTTGGCAGCAAGCTTTGCATGGACTGGAGGCTGTTGCTGGCATGGTTTGTTTGAAGGAGTCCCTGAAGATTCACCGGACATCTGCGTGCTCGTGATGCCATCTTGTGCAATCGGCGCAGTGATTGGCACAAAAGGTGCCAAAATCAGAGCCTTAGCTGCGCTGCAGTTGTTCCTGTGCCTGTGGGTGCATGTGCAAAGGTGGCTTCTTGCAGGTTGTTGTGGGACATCATACTGCATTGAGTGGCCAAGTCTGCCTGCATGAACCTCCTAGACGGAGGTGAAATCATGGCAGAGTCCGGCACCGTCACTTGCCTCAAATCCTGGCATATTGCCAAGCTCGCAGCATGTCCCAGCGTCTCGAGACAACCTGTGTGAGGATATAGACGTTGGAAGGGAGTGCATCACTGGGATGCCCGACAATCCTGTCGTCACCTGGCCGACACCTGATGAATCCCGATGAGCCAAAGCAGTGGAGCTAAAAAATCTAGAAGATTCCACAAGCACAACTGGCATAACTCAGGTCTTGAAAGGCCTGCGCCCTCAGATCGTCAAAGCGGCTCCTCGGTTGCAGTCTCCTGCTAACATGCCGTGCTGGCTAACTAAGTCTGGCCAAGCATAAGATGCAGAAGGATTCGCATTTCGAACGCAAATCCTGTTTAGAGTGACGCGGATGAGGGAAAGGGGAAACCATGCTGAGAAGCATTCAGGCAGTCCTGGCCAACGACGTGTTGCAAGATTTGGCAGACAAAGGCCGTGTTAACGCCAGTGACTTTCGCTACGTTCCTGGCCGGACTGCAGCACCCCGAGTTGGTGGTCGCGGGGCATTCGCTTCCTGTGCAGCAGCACGGTTTCTTTTCGACAGGGAGTTTGCAGGATTCATGATCGGAAAGGGTGGTGAGAAGATTACGAGAATCCGAGACCAGACAGGTGCAACTCTTCAATTTCGAGGTTCTGCTGAGGAGGTGGCGCTTTTCCTGGGTCCGGACGACCGTGTTTTAGACATCCGCGGCACACCTACACAACGCAACCAGGCGGTTGAGTTCTGCTTCAAGGAGATGGACTCCGCCCCACAGTCCATCCAAGAAACTCGTATTTTGATCCCATTAGCCGTGCCCGAGGCACCGCTGGAAGAAACGGTGGCACGGACTGGGGCATCTTGCAGCCTGTCACAGGACATGCACATAGTTAGCCCAGAGAGTACAGAGCGCGTGGTTCGATTGGAGGGTGCCCCTCCGGAGCGGCTGGCTGCAGCTTTAGGTTTGCTCGTCAAAGCTGATGAGTATGCTCCAAATGTGCCAGCCGTCCGGCCACCTGCAGCACCTGTTCGAGTGGACCGGCAAAGTGACCATGCCGCAGAAGCTGCGGCAGAAGCTGCCGCACAACCTGCGGCACAACCCGCGGCACAGCCTGCGATTCGCACACCAGACAAGCCGGAAGATGATCCCGAGCGGCGGATAGAGCCAGAGTCAGGCAAAGCATATACCTTCGCAGAGTTTCGAGTAGCTTTCGCGGAAACGTATTCCGAGAAGGACATTTGCGACTATTGGCGAGATGCCTGCACGCCAATCAAGCAGCAAGATAAGCAAGTGACGCCAGTAACGCAAGAGAACGAGCACGGGCAGTCCTCTCTTGCCTCTGGAATTGCCTCGCCTGCGGTCCAAGAGGCAAAGCAAGAGGCAAAGGAGCCTCTTTCAGGCCAAAAGCTTGATCGTCCAGAGCCACAAAATGGAAATGTGAAGCGAGATGAGGCGACGGCTGGCAATCTTAACGGAAGGATAAAGGCAAGCTCGGATCAAGGCCAGATGAAGATTCCAGGCGAATCGGGCAGTGTATCTGGACACCAAGGAGCTCAGGATTCCAATGTGTTGTGGCTCTTCTGCAGTTCAGAGTATTGATGCTTTATCGCAGGATATTTGTAGGTGCACATGGGCCGACGCCCGTTGGGTGTTTAGGGAACGAGCAAGAATACTCCACAGTCCCCGCCCTCCTCTCCCTCCTCCTCTCGTCTCTTCGACCCCTGTCACGCCAAATGTTTTTTTTGAAGCCTAGGAGAGTTCTCGACCGATCGCTTGCTCGTTTGGCGTTTTCTTTTTGGGTTCCCCAAGTTGTCTTTCTGGAGGAGGCGCGACCTACGACCCTCGCCCCCCTTGCCCCGCCCGCTGTAATCGGAACAAGCCCGCTTTACTTTACGAGCCAGAACTTTTGAACTTTTGAAGCCAGTCAAAAACTCGACAAGATGGCTGCAACTGGGGGTGAGGCCGGGGGGGGGGGAACCCATCCACTAATTTTCATGCATTTGTAAACCTGAAGATGTACGCAAGCCTTGATGTACGCAAGTCATGGGAACAGTCTCTCCCATAAAGATTCACCCCTGGCAGTGGCAGTGGAAGTGGTAGCAAGGCGGAGTGACTCTGGCTGGACAAGACGTAGCCGCCGGGGAGGGCCAAAAAACCCCCTGACAGGATAAAACAACCTTTAAGGGCCGAAAAACAACCATCGGGGTCAAAACATCGATTAGGACATTCCACCTGTTTTTGCTGTGGTAATGTTGGGATGCTGTTTCTCGCTTTCGGCAGCGCGACGCGGCGCTTGCCTACGTAATGCAGCCTATGCCTGTTCGAGGCCCACCAATCTTCCGGTGGGCGTTCACAGATGGCGTGCCTGGTCATTGAAAGTGTTCCAGAAATGGGTGCTTATTTAGATGAAAAAGCACTCAAGCCTTAGGTGTTGTCGCAATTTTGCGTGTTTTGGCAGCAGCAGCCGACTGTCAATGGGCTTACAGACTTCTCAGGCGAGAAGCTGCTGGACTCACCGCCATCACAGCTCCATGTCGTCTTGCCCACAGAGCTTGTAAAGGATCCACTGGTCGAGCAAGGGTTCCTGGCTGAGATAGCTTCTTGGATTGAATACCTTTTCGGCTTGACGCTGAAGAGTGAGACGCATTGTACTGCACGCTTTCAGAAGATCAGTGCCAGTAGAACCAGGAAACCGTCAAGCAAAGCACCGTAAAGGATGTTAAAAGTCGGACAGGCCGTTGGCTGTCAAGTGCACATCGATGTCTGTGGTGAAGTCGCTCCGGGTCAGCGGCAGCTTATCCTGCAGCCAGGCCAAGCTTAGTAGAGGCACGGTTCTGCCATGTTTTGCTGCATTGTGCCTCAGCACATCTGTAGGGAGGTCTTGATAAAGCGGCACATCTTTGCTTCTGCTTTTTCCGCACCTTACTCGGTTCCAGACGCCAGGGCCTCCTTGCCACAATGACACGCCAGGGTCTCCTTGCCACAATGACACGGGAGTCATGCCCTGACTCTGTGTTGGGGCGAGTGTAGGTGACAACACACAAGACAAGGCAAGCGCAGGCAAAGATGAGCGGGTAAGACAGCCCGAGCCTGCCACATCACATCCGGGACTCCCCGTGCCCTTCTTCCAACTGCTAAACATCGCTATGTTTTGCACCTGTGGCTGAAACACTTGCGGGAGAGCATTGTTTTGTTTTTTTGTGGCATGTTTTTTGCGGATCGTTGCGCTTCTGGTGTCAACAAGAAATTCTTCCAGCGGAGTTTCCCTGAGCACGGTTGATCAATATCAATCACCTCCTGTCGGTGCAAAGGTCGGGCACTTGCGCAGCCAATGCGCTGGCTGCGGTGGCTCTTCAGATGCGTGCATGGTTTGCTGGAGCCAGGCCGTAAGCAGGCAATTGCAGTGCTAGGCATGTGCGGCAACGTTGCGGAAAATGACGTCTGCATGGGGACCTTCTGCTGAGCCAAGTCAGGTCCCCTTCAATTCGGAAGTCTGAGTTCTAAACCTGGAACCCCCCCCCAGAAACCGTTAAAAAGTCCCTTCTTTCAACTACTTTCAACTCCCTTGAACTGAGAGCCTCTGCCAGTAGCAGAGTTCTTCAATCAAAACATCAACATACCCCATTCTGAGGAGGAATGAAGGGTCACTCAAGGATAGAAGGCGGCCAGCAAATTGCCTTCATGATTCATGACTGTTTGCGCGGGTTTCTTTCTTCAGAAGTCGGCCCCATGGGCAGGCTTACGCTGGTCGATGTCCAGTTGAAGAGTTCTTATGCCACCTCCGTTCACGCAGAGAAGATGTAACATTTATCACCACATAACTCACATGACTCTCATGTGTTGTCTCTCGAACTTTCACTGATGAAGGGTAGCTCCTCAGATCCTCCCGCCTATGCGAGATTGCAGCATGTAACTCATGCAGTTCTCTTGACATTGCGAACGCTAAACGGTTCTGGGCATATGTTAGAAGCTCCCTTCTACCTTTATTTTATGCCCCAAAGCAGCCCCAGGATGTCGGTCAAGTGGGGACGAAACCCTAAGCCCCAAGCCCTGAACCACAGAAAGTGATCCAATTCCTCTTCCAGGCCCACGTTACACTAAAGGCAACACGGTCCGAGACGGCCTTCCAGGTTTCGTTCCCAGGAGAACCCATCTAAGCAGAACAGTTTTGGACTGTTGGGGTGGATATCCCCCACACGTCTGCAACCCTAAAATCTAAAAGATTCTCTCTGCACCTGATATCTGTTTTTCACGGTTAGTCCGAGACTGGTCAGCTCGGCGTGTGGCAAAAAAGCCTTCGACAGCCACACCCAGGCCCGACTGGCAACCAAGGCTCGCGATGGCTTTGCCTTCCCGGGCTAGGTTCGCAGAAGCTTGACTGCCCCAAGCGTGAAAGAATCAAGATCACTGAAGGTTTAAGGTTTAGGGTCTAGGTGATGTTAGTGGGTTGAGCTGAGGTGTTGAATGCTATCAATGTGGCTCGGCCTGACATGCCTACCATGACTGCAGTGGTGGGGCAAATGTTGAAGCACCGCTCTCGAAAAGCACTGCCTGCAGTGAGGTATAGTGAGGTTATGTGCAAAGCTGGAAAGCTGGACTCTCACTGCCAGGCTCCGCCCCGTGCCATGGCAGTCCCTTCTAGTGGCTTCATATCTTAAGCAAGCAAACGGTATGGAGGCAGACTCAAGTCGATGCGTTCGCAGATCCCACGCACCGCCTCAAATTCAGGCATTTTTTGCCCAAAGCCTAGACAGCACTTCCGGAACAGAGCTGCACCCTCCGACATCACGACAACACCGCGGCATGTCGTACACGGGCTTGAGCAACACGCCCAGTGCCAGTGCTGAGCAAGACGAGCACTCAGAGCTCGAAGGCAGCGCAGGCAGCGAAGATGGCGGGTTCGTCCCGGTCACAGCCAGCACAGGTCAGGATCGTGGCGTGCGTCTGCGACTTCCTCTTTTCCTCCTTTGTTGCCTTGCCAGTCTCGTCGTGTATGTCTCGAACATCACCGCGTTCGGCAAGATGGAGGTGGATGGAGTGGGCCCATCGGAGCGATCGGAGCTCATGTCCCTGAGCGAGAGTTTGCAGAGTGCTAAAGCACTCGTCACGAATGCCATAATTGAAGCGAGCAAAAAAAAGGGTCCTCACGATCTCCGTGAGCTTGATCCGCTTCCGACCATCCTGGCCGCGCCTTGGATTCATTCTTGTACTCGTATGGTACATTATATTACAAAGTTACCACATGAGTATGTTACTATATTTTTCTGCTACTCTGCGATAGATTCTGAGACGGCTTGAGTGCTAGACCATTGGCTCGCAGAATGGAGTGAGCATGGAATGCTATCCAGCGTCTTTCCTCGTCCCAGCCACCCATCCAAGGTGAAGAGGAGCCAGAAGATGCGGAGTGCAAACATTGTGACTTGTTCTTTCGATGCTGTCGAGGCGCGCTCTGCAGCACAAAGAAACAAAGATGCAAACACAGCTCGCAGCAAGAAAGAAGCTTTGTGAAGTCGAAGCAGGCCTTCATCAGCGCGATGGGCCTCGGCGACGACATCAATGGAATGGTGAGAGTGTGTCCTGATCCTCGACCATACAGGTCCGAAGTGGCCTGCCAGGCCTGGCATCATGTCTATATCATATCTCTCAGCTCCGGGCTTTAGGGTTTACAAAGGGTCGATAGGGTTTCCCATGGGGGGCGGCGCGGCCTCGACGAAGGGGGGGGGGGACGGCGCGGCGCGGGACACCCAAACTTGAAGCCTCGTAACGTTTAGGGTTTCTCCCACGAGCATTCTATCCAAAATTGGCTCGTGAAAAGGTCGTGGGGGCTGGGGGCCTCGATTATGGAGCAAAATTTCCTCTTCAAGGGGGTCTGAGTTTCACTACCTTCGAAAAAACACGGAGAAAAGCCATTGCGGCCCTCCCTCCCCCGACCAAGTTTAGCTCGTGGAAAGACCTCAATGGGTTTAAGGCCCCGGCCTCGATTCCGAGGGTTTAAAGGCCAGGCCTGGCCACCACATGCCACCACCCACACGGGGTTTAGGCTGATACAATATAATCAGTTGCTAGCCAACCGGCTCAGGGGCTGCAGGCTCTGCAGCTCTGTGTGGTTTCGCTGACCGCTCGACTGCGCCCACCTACCCCAACATGGGTGGTGGCTAGAAGTCACAGTCCAGCCCGGGTTCAAAAGGGTTTAGGGTTTCGTAACATGGCCCTTTACGGGATTGAAAAGGGGTCCCATTGCCCGACTAAGAACCAGCAAGCAGATGCGAGGGCAAGTTTTGGCAATTGACAGTGGTAGATTTCCCAGAGCATCCATGCAGCCATATGATAGATACAAGTTTTGGCAGCTGAAGGTGGTAGACCTCCCAGAGGTTCCATGTGCACATATGGTAAGTACTTAGACCGTAAACCACAAATTTTGCTACATAGTACCTGCTTCGGGGCCCAAGTATTCCCTACAATTAATTGCGCCCCAAAACCCTTTAACCCTATAACCTATAACCCTAAACCCTAAACCCTGGGCTTGTAGACTTGACAGGTCGATTCGGGCATGTTGCTCTTCTGGGCAGGGAACTTGGCATCGAAGTTGGCCTCGGCCGTCTCAAACTGCGAGGCAGCGTCTTAGCAGCTGAGTAGGTAACCTTTTACCCTTTTGTAGGTATATATATATATATATATATGGTACCCCCCCCCCCCCCCCAAAGATCTACCGTTTCCCACCTTTTTTTCAACAATGAAACAAAATCCGTCTGCTTCATAGTGAATTTTCGCAATGCAATAAAATCCGTCTGCCTCACAATGATAATGCCCACGACGCCATTCAGAACTCTCTTCAAAGATTTCGAAAGCCGGCCGTTTCAATTGAAACGGCCGGGATCCAAGATCCAAGATCCAAGATTTCCCAGGACTCTTGCCGAGGCATCTTGGAATCCCATATCTTGGATTCTGCCCGTTTCAATTGACATGTTTCCGTTTCAATTGAAACGGCCAGTTTTGGATTTAGGATTCCAAGATGCCTCGGCAAGAGTCCTGGGAAATCTTGGATCCAAGATCCAAGATCCAAGATTTCCCAGGACTCTTGCCGAGGCATCTTGGAATCCCATATCTTGGAGTCTGCCCGTTTCAATTGAATTAAAACGGCCGGTTTTGGATTTAGGATTCCAAGATGCCTCGGCAAGAGTCCTGGGAAATCTTGGATCTTGGATCCCGGCCGTTTCAATTGAAACGGCCGGGATCGAAGATCCAAGATCCAAGATTTCCCAGGACTCTTGCCGAGGCATCTTGGAATCCCATATCTTGGATTCTGCCCGTTTCAATTGACATGTTTCCGTTTCAATTGAAACGGCCGGTTTTGGATTTTGGCTTCCAAGATGCCTCGGCAAGAGTCCTGGGAAATCTTGGATCTTGGATCTTGGATCCCGGCCGTTTCAATTGAAACGGAAACGTTTCAATTGAAACGGCCGGTTTTCGAGATCTAGGATTCCAAGATGCCTCAGCAAGAGTTCAGGGAAATCTTAGATCTTGGATCTTGGATCCCGGCCGTTTCAATTGAAACGGAAACGTTTCAATGGTTGAACTTCAAAACTCCAGGTTCCAGGATTCAAGATCCCGTGGAAACTTTTCCTGCAATCTTGAATCTTGAATCTTGGATCCCGAAGTTTTGAAGCTCAAAACTCTAGATTGAAGTTCAAAACTCACGGAACCCCATAGGGCTAAGGTTTGAAGGTTTAGGGCTTCAGGTTGAGGCATTACGATTTAGGCATTCAAACTTGAGCCGGTAGTTCAGCCTAAACTCTCGACCTTTAAACCCTATAGGGTTAAGGTTTCAAGGCTTAGGGCTCAAGATTTAGTCATTTAAAGCTAAGCCCATAGAGTTTAAACCTCAAGGGTTTAAGGTTTATAGGTATGAAAACATGAACCCTAAACCCTCTAGGGGTCTAAAAGGTTCAAGGGTGTTCAGCCCACAGGTGCTGAAGGTATAAATGCCCAGCATTGAAACCTTGAAGCCCTATAAGGGTTTTTAAAGGTTTAAGGTCTGGGGATTGAAACCTAGGTTTGGGCATTCAAACTGGTTTAAGCCTTAATCCCTGTAGGGCTAGGTATTTAAACCGAATAGCTTACCTTGAAACGCTATAGGTTTAAAGGTTCAGGTTCAAAACCTTTAAGCCTCTGGGGTTTAAAGGTTTAGGTTTTTGCAGAGTTTGTCTACCCTATTCGGGGTAGCCCTATAGGGTTTTAACCCTAAAGGGGTTCAAGGTTCAGGGTTTAAGAGGGCATTGCAACAACCCAACCCTAAACCCTCAGGGATTGAACCCCTTTACTGTTATCCTTAAGCCTTAAAGCATATAGGGTTTAGGGTTATAACGCTGAAGAACCCTCAGGGATTTAACCCCTTTACTGCTTTCCTTAAGGCTGAAAGCATAAACGGTTTAGGGTTATAACGCTGAAGAACCCTCAGGGGTTTAACCCCTTTACTGTTTTCCTTAAGCCTTAAGGCATATAGGGTGTAGGGTTATCACGCTGAAGGTATAAATGCCCAGACCTTAGGTACATCAGGCTTAGGCATTAAAACCTTTAAGCCCTATAAGGTTGTTAAAGGTTTAAGGTCAAGCCTTAAACCCTATAGGGCCCTATAGGGTTACGGTTTTTTCAGGGTTTATCAACCCTAAACGCTATGAGGGGTTGAAGGTTTAGGGTTGAAGGTTCAGGGCATTGCAAAAACATAACCCTAAACCCTCAGGGATTTAACCACTTTACTGTTTTCCTTAAGCCTTCCGGCATATAGAGGTTAGGGTTATAACGCTAAAATCTATAGGATTAGCACCTTATACCCCTATATATTGTAGGCCTTGAGGCCTAAATCCTAACCGTAAATCCCATAGAGTCCTGCCTATGTTTGTAGGCCTCGCCTCCTGTGGAAATGCAAAGGAAAAGTAGAATAAGTACCCACGGCATGTATGTATATAGGGTATATGTATTGCATATCAAATACAGATAATGGAGATCCTCGAACCATAAGACTAGGAAGTATTCGAGCGCAAAAGGTGATGCGGAAAAATCATGTACTGTAAGCCCCGGGGACGCGAGAATACTATGAGCAAAGACCTTTTCACTATTTCCCTCTTTATTGCCGGTTCGGTGTCTTGGGTTGGTGCAGGATCGGTTACCTATTGTTACGAGGGACTAGATCGGAAGGGATTCTGGATAGTAAAAGTAAAAGCATTACAAAAGGGTAGATCCCTGGGGGGGGGGGAAGCATATATATATATGTATATGTGTATGTATGTAATTATAGATATATATATATATATACATATATACATATATTACTATGACGAGGTTAACCGTTATATAATATAATCCTACTAGAGTCAGAAGGTTAACTCTTTTTCTTGGGCAAGAAACTCAGCAACTAAGGCGTCAGCGTGGGGGGCGGTTGGGTCGGCGGCGTGGCAGGCAACAAAGGAGGACCCCTGTGCGCCGCAGGCTGGGTTGGGCTGGAGTTGTTGTCATTGTTAGTATTACAAATATGATCACCATTCTCTCTTATGACCATTTCTCTTCTTATTATCCTTGTTCTTCTTCTTACTCTTACTCCTACTCACACTCCTACCCCTACTCATTTTTCTTTCTTTTTCGCCTACTCATACTCTTCTTCCAAGTATTATTGCGATTATTGTTCTTGTTATGATGATGACTATGAATATGATTATGATGATGATTATTATTTTCACTATCACCATTATTCGTATTATTCTTATTCTTATGATTTTTATGTAGCAGCTCGAGTAAACTCTCGGCGTACGGAGGTATTGGCCAGTTGACGGGAGCTTTGGGCGAGCTCGCTGCAGCAGCATCGCTGGCGGCAGCCACGTGTGGTCCAAACGTCACAGAGGTCGACGACGGCAGGGTCAGCACTTTCGGTGATCAGACGACGCCCGGTCCGCAAGCAGCATCCGGCTCTCCCACCCCCAGAGAATCCTGCAAACAGTGCCGCTGAGTATTCCTGGAGTACCCCAGCGAATCCGGAAATATCCTGGAGTGCCAACAACACCAGAGAAGCCTGGAGCATCAGGTTTCCGAGAGTTCCGTTTAGGGGGTTTAGGGGGTTTAGAGGGTTTAGGGGGTTGAGGGGGTTGAGGGGGTTGAGGGGGTTGAGGGGGTTGAGGGGGTTGAGGGTGTTTAGGGGGTTGTGGGGGTTTAGGGTTAGGGTTTAGGGCTATTATTGCTGCGAGGCCCGATTGGGCATATTGTGTGGATAGTCTAGGCAGCAATGATGGCAGAGCAAGCGATGCTGCGCGTTAAAGTGCCTCAGCGTGTGATCTCTGTCTTGCGGTTTATGCTCCACACGTCCGGCTCTAGATGCCCAGCAGAGATGCAGCCCTTCAGCATGCACTGCAAGCCACGGATGCACAAGTGAATTGATGGTTCAAACAGAAGATGAGGTTTTTTCAAGGCATCAGTGTGAGACCATCATGTGCCAAGCACAAGATCGGTTGGAAGAGCAAGTGGGGCGTTATCGTGAATTGACAGAACAGGTGAACACTCCGAGTTTCGTGGTTCCAGGCCAGCAGTGGCCGCAGACGAAAGGTGCTACAACCTTGACATCCTTGCGAGATCTTGATGACCTTGGTCTGGGTGAGGTTCGTGCCCTTCCAGCACTGCAACAGGCCCTGAGCAACGTCGAGCAGCAAGGATGGCGGTAAAGCAGAGTAGTGAAGAACGCCGCTTGAGAATGCAAGCGTCCGAGGGTGAGGAATAAGCTTTGTGCGACGTGTTTGGGGAACTGGACAACTGACCATGTAGAAGAGTTGCCTCGTACGATGCCCTTCTGTACAGCAAGGGTGCTTGTATGAGGCCCCAGCTTGGTTGCAATTGTCGTCGTGCCAGCTAATGTGCAGAGTCTGTGTCAAAAAATGGTTTAGGGTTTAGGGTTTGGGAGAGCCCGGGTTCAAAATGGCTTACGGTTTGGGGTGTAGGATTCGTGCCGGCACCTCAGAGAGCCCGGGTTCAAAAGGGTCAGAATCTTGCGGCGCAGTCTCCTTACCTGGTCCGAAAAGGGCATGGCGATTCCCACGAACGACATGTAAGGGGTGGGAAGGATCGAAGCTTAGAACTGAGGTTTACTCAGTTTTTTCAATAAGAGCCAAAGGCCGCGAGCTCACTCGCCTGAAACCTTGAAGTCGTGAGAGTCGAAGCCCTACAGTAAAAAGCCTTGAAAAGCCTTGAAAAGCCCCTTAAAAACTCATCTTGAGGGCGGGCGATTATTTCCTGGGCCGCCGGCTGCTCATCGGTGAGGGGGAGGTCGGGAACGACATTCAGTGTGCAGTGGACGTTGGTCGCCTGGAAAGATATGGGGGTTTAGGGTTTATGAATTTGGGGGTGCCATGGGGTCCTTATTTTAAGGGGGTCCCTTTTCGTGGTGTAGATTTGGGGTCTATTGTCGTGAACCCGATATACACCTGTTTTGGGAGCTGTTTCTTGAGTTGCCAGTGGCCTCACAAAACGGGCGGTAGAGCTCTAAACCTTAAACCCGAAAACCATTGAAGGTATGGTTGCATCGAACATTGCCCACATGGGCTTGGCCATTAACTCGGCTGTCAATTCAGGGAGCTGCCAGCATTTGTCACTCCCTTTGTCGCTTGCAGGCAACGCAGAAACCTTGTTTGGGGTCTAGGGCCAAGTTTATGTTTGCCGGCAGCCTCCAAAGTCCGTTGCCCAGGGCCAAGTTTAGTTTCGGAGTTCGGGTTCAGGCCGGATGCAAAAGGGTTTAAGGTCCGTAGTCCGTTCTTTCTAGTTTTCTTCAGGAGCCATGCAGTTTCAGCTCAGGCGTGAGGCGCTGTGCACCGTGGATATCGGAAACGCCGTGGCATACTTTCTGCAGGTGGTGACCTTTATTCAGTTTTCGATTGTGAACTGCGAGGCTGGGGCACAACGTTTGGGGTTCATGTTGGTTAATTTATAGGTTCTCGAATCGAAGTTCTGCCCCCCCCCTTGAGCTTCCAAATCGCTCGTAGAATCGTAGAAGAGTCTATCGGGACTAGACCAACATGTTCGGAAGCACCTGTATTCCAACAGTATCATGTGCTGCTCAGTATCACAAAACCCTGCTAGAACCTGATGAACGTGAGCGCCCTTTGTGGAGCCTCCATTGCGGGCATCGGGACCGCAGCTGCAAGCATCGCGCCAGCTGCAGCTGCCATCCACCGTGGCTGTAACCCAGGCATTGTCACCTGGCTGCTGTAGCAAAGGGTAGTGACTTCGGATAGTGTTCAGGTTTTATGTTTAGGGCCCAACTCGACTTACCCACTGTAGCTGCAGTGCGGGCTAGCCTTTTGATCTATGGAGTTGGCCTCTTCTGACTGTGCATGTGTTGGTCTGGATCTAGGAGTTAATCTAGTTGATTTTTGTTGCAGTCTTTACGAAAGTTCAAGCAGCGGCGTGCTGAGGAGTATTTAGTATTCAAACCCGAACCCTAAACCCCTAACCCCTACACCCTGGCGCAACATGAGGTTCCACCACTGCCAAAGACGAGCACTTCGACGACGCTGTCAGTGACGAGCACCTCGTCGCTGACATCAACTGTTACGAGCACCACGTCGGTGACATCAACTGTCACGAGCACCACGTCGGTGACAGCCACGTCGTCGACATCAACTGTGTACCCCACCATAACCAGCACAACAACAGCAACGGAAACAGCAACCACAATAACAACAACAGCCACGGCAACAAGCACAACAACAGTATCAATCACAACAGTATCATCCACAACATCATACACGATCTCCGAGACCACAGAGACTGCCACGGAGACCAGCACAACTTTCACCCAGCAGTCCTTTGACTGTCTCGATTTGGGCTTTGCACCGCTTCAGCTCATCAACCGAGACACCGGCCCGAATGGAGGGTCATGCCCTGGTGGCTCTGACATCAAGCAGTTGGACGTAAACTCAGGGATTTACAGCACACTTTGCACCATCCCAGACAGATGCTTCAATGCCTGTGGGATGAAGCCGGGCTCGAACTTCATCTACTGCATTGAGCGTGACCAACTCTCCATGAATCAACTCGTGCGCATTGACTGTCCTGCAGGGGGCACAGGCACTGCCTGCTTCCTTGGCCGCTTGGACAAAAGCTTCTCGGGAGGGTTCAATCCGGTGACCGGTGAGTTTGTTGAGACGGACCAGAATGTTGTGCGGATCGTGTCGGTGGACGTGGATACCTTGACTTGCTCCGGAACGCCAGTGGCGTCAAACATCCCCTTCACGCAGCAACCTTTGGTAAACCCGACTGGGTCTAGCCTGGCCGACATCCTGATCTCTGACATCCCAAATCCTCCCGCCGGCTCCACTGGGCAATGGCTACTGTCCTGCACCCGATCGGGACAAGTTTACATCCAGAACCTCCAAGATTCGAGTTTTCACTACACTTTGACAATGCAGGCAATTCCGGGAAGTGTGGTTCCTGGAGGAGGCAGCGCCTCAGGCGCGCAGTGGCAATGGCAAACGTCCCTCTACTGCGCCTACAACGACGGAAGGGGAGTGTGGCACCTGGGCTCATGGGATGTGTTGTAATGTGTTGTGTTTTTTCTTCATTTGGGTTAAAGAGGGTCTTGATTAGGAATAGGAAAGGCAGTTTTTTCAACCCAGGCAGGTCTTCGAGGACACGATCGACTTCGGAAATTTGACCATCGACGTTGAAAAGGCCGGCATTTCGCAGGCAACGAGCTCCAACGATGGCTTGAACTGTCTTGGAGGGGAATCGCCCTTCACGACGACTACTCCATAAGATCTACCAGGTCTCCACAGCAGCATGGTACCCATCCGAATCCGAAGCTCCTTGAAATTTGGGAGCTCTGCGGTGACTAAGTTACAGGCAGAGGGATTTCCTCGCTATGAACCAGGATGGGCTGTTTGGCCCCTACAAGCCCCATCAAGAGCCCCATCAGGCTCCATTTGAGGAGTTAAGCCCTAAACCCGAAAGCCCTGAAATGCCCTGAGCCCTAAGCCCTTAACTTACGGCGCAGAATAGCCCGTCCTGGAATTGTTTGATTGACCGCGCCAGCGCATGTCCGCATGGCAGCAGTCGTTCCCCTGGCTCTTTTTGCTAATTAAGTCTCTTCTAGGTAGGCCCTTGGGACACTTTTCTATTTTTCACTTGTCGGGTTATTTTCCCGGGGTTTCCGGGGCCAACCTAGGTTCTGTCGTCGGCAGTGCGTTCACACATGCAGAGTCATTGAGAAATGTTGCCAGGGCCTGCTTGCTGAGTGTTTTTATTACATTGTAGTTAAAATTATGGTTATGACTCTTCTTGATTATGGCTATGATTATGGCTATGATTATGCTGCTGGTTATTGTCCTTATTGCCAATGGTGCCATTCGGCCACGCCTATGTAGACGCGACCCTGACGCCCAACCCCCGCCGCCGGCGCCCAGCGCAATCGGCGTGAGGAGCTCGGACTGCCTGAGCAGGGTGCTCATACACTGGGTTTAGGGTTGTGAGGGCTGAGAGTTTGGTGTTTAGGGCTTAGGGTATCGGCAGTCCTGGGTTAAAAAAAGGGCTTAGGGTATTTCCCAAGTTCCCTTCCGCTTTTTATGCTAGGTTCCTTTCAGCCGTGTAGTCTGTGATATATGCTATATATTGCTATATTAGATTGTTTTTCCACTCACGACTACTCCATATTGATTCTGTAGCATCGTATGTTGACCCAGATTTGGGGATGCTTGCAACACAAGCAGCACCCTCATGCAGTGTTTCGGGCTCAGGGTTTAGGGTTTTGCAGCTTAGCAGGTTTCAGTTTGCATCCGGAGGGCGGTATCCGACGTCGTCGTCGTCATCCTGTTGTCAAGTCACGATGGTTCATCGTTCTTATGATTGCCACTACCACCAACCCCTACCCCAACCCCGTTTGGCTATTACTGCGATTACATTCAGAGATGGAGCGTTTACAGCTGTGCTGAAGTACACTTCACCATGCCGTTTAAAGACCAAGATTAGATTATCGCATTATTCTATTCTTAGTTGGCTTCTGTGTATTGAAAGCAGCAGACGGCTGAGAATGAGCACACCCACATAAAGCAGAAGCTCATATGCAGTTGGCTTTCTGCATTGACTGCTGGCCTGCCAGCCCACGGATGATGGTTCAGACTTGTGATCTGCTTCAACATGTGCCAAATTCTGGACGGAAAGGCGAGAACGGGCACAGCACACCCACATAAAGTTCGGTTTCTACTCACAGGCTGCGTAGTCTTGCCGGGCAGTGTGCAGAGACCTGGATGCAAAACTCGGCGCTTAGAACTTCCGTCAAGCACTTCGCTTACATTGCCGCCACTGCGCAAACCTTGATCAATTGGGCGACCGACATCCAACAACCTTACTCTTATCCCCGCAGCAGTCGATAATCATTGTCCTTTCTGTTCCGATTTGACGCCGACTTTGTCTCGCCTTCTGGCTCGTCACTCCGTCCTCTTGCAAGATGCTTAAACGTGAACGTATGTATAGAATGCGCCGGAACATCATATGATCTTGTTGAAAACTTGCGTCGTCGGGCTTGAGCCTTGATTGTCCGTGAGAGGTCTTGGGAGCCCTAGCCCGCCCCATCCCCCAACTACAGGGATCACGGCTTAGACCTAAAACTATCCCTGAAACGCAATGACTCTTCAAAGCCCGAGCACTGCACCTTCCAGTCTGACTCGCTTAGTTCACCTGATCCCCCCTCCCAGCCAAACGCAATCTGGAACCCTGCATGAATCGGCTCATGAAGCGTTTCATTCACCAGCTGCGCAGGGGCATTGTTCGTGGGTCGAGATGTAGTGGTTCACATTGTAGTAGTCAATATCTCGAAGGCAAGAACAGTACTGCACCGGCTACACCCATCCGATCCCGCACGATCCCGCACGATCCCACACAAAACCTGGGGCTGGCCAGGATGCTAGATGCATCTGTAGACTTTAGGGGGCTGCAAGGTGAAACCAATCACAGTGTAAGGCAAGTTTGCGTGAAAGTGTGCATATCTGAGCTCAAGCGGCGATGGGTTCTGAAAATGGCACCAGCGCTTTGGTCACCCATACGCTTGATGATGTCATGAAGCGACGCAGGGAAGTTTGCGCAGAGTTCGAGTCCCACCCTATGGCCACGACAGCGGATGCAACTTGTGCCATCAAGAACGGTTACAGCTGGGACCCCAACAGTTGCGACATGAGCCAGAAGAGAGGAATCACTACTGACACGCAGCTGCAATCGTTGCTGTCCGAAAGGCGTGGAAGGTGCCAAGTTCTTGAAAGCAGCCCATCCCCCGTGGTTGCGGATGCTCTGTGGAATCAGTCGTCGCGGCCTTTGCAAGCGTGCCCAAACCGCCGCCAGACAACTTCCCCGAATGACACGACGAGCCTTCAGCAGGAGGTTCCACAGCAAGTCGGGGTTGCGACGGATGGGACGGCTGGAACAGTCGGACCGTTAGATGCCGAAGTGGAAAGGCCCATGGCTTTGAAGCTGTCCAACTGGTTGGATGCCTTGCAGGCGGGGGAATCACATCGATTCACGCGAAAGAACAGACTCATTTGTCTGGCAAAAGCCCTTGTTTTGCAGGTGCCCCAGCAACCGCACAGGACTACTGACCAATCCGAGAAGGCGCGCCACGGCACAGCCATTCCTGTGCTGAGTTGCATCGAGTAGCGAGCTAGCTTCGCTGAAGTTGGCGCTGCCTGCACTCCACAAAGGCATCCTCTGCGACGGCGCGCTTGTTGCAGCTCATGTTGCTTAAAGATGACAATCCAACGAGTAGCCTGCACAGGACATAGGGTGTTGCTGTGCCGGTTACGCTGCTGTCGCTGTGGCTCCGTGCCTGTCTCATGACGCCATCTGCATGAAGTGTCATTTGGAAGGATCTTGGCGGAAGCCTTTGTGTGTAAGCATCTGGCATTCCTCAACTTCAAAGAAGATCACATCGATGCAGCTATTCTCATCCTGCTGCGCTACCACAGCCCTGCCGCTTGTCCTGTATCAGGTGCACCCGGGCAGCCACTGCAAATCCCAGGCAAGGTTGTGTTTGCTCAGCTGAGGCAATGCTTCCCCGACTTGTCGGGAAGGCCCACGCTCCAGAGACGAGCATGGGCCAGGGCGGCTTGGGCTTGCTGGACCAAGTGGGTGCAAGCACAGTGCTGGATCTGCTTTTGGGTAGGCCGTATAAGCCAGACAAAGAGGATCCGGAAGGCTTCTCATCTGCGCTGGCGCTCCTGCAGATCTGCGATGAAGCTGTGCACAGCGGCAACGAGCTAATCCTGGTCTTCGTCATTGTTGCAGTGCTGGCAGACCCTGGCCTGTCCAATCCATCAGACAGTAGGTCTGCCCATTCACTCTGGAACTCAGCACAGCGCATGCTGTCAGCAACTCCGCGCTCGATGCTGTGCATCCTAGCTGGGGCTGAGGCCCGTGATCAGGCCCTCCGTCTACCCATTGGCTCCGTTGCTCCTGATGAGATTCTGCATCACGTCTATGAGCGGCCAGAAAGTGAGTGGCGACTTGTTGTTGTGGATGTCCGGGATGCCTGTTCAGCGGGGCTTCCGGTATGTTTGCGATTGCCAGCTTCAGCGGACTTCGAGGATTTTGTAGCAAGTCTCCCAGCGGAGCAGGCTCTCCACCTGTGCTTGCTTGCCGATGATCCGCTGGAGGCTTTAAAGCTGTGTCTTCGCCTTTCGGGACCCCACGGCGCCTGCCGGCCACACGTATCCCTTGCCGAAGGTGGCTGGCAGGCAATAGAAGAGCTTGCGTCAGCTCTGCGCCTCGAGCTCTTACCAGGAACGCCCCAATGTCTTGAGTCGGACATGTCGGACATGCTAGAGACTGGCGAGAGCGCTCACAGTTTTACAGGTACTGTAGTGGAAGTTGCAGAGCATGTGGCATCGCTGACATCCGTGGCAGCATCGGTAGCGTTTAGAGGTGCTTTCTGGGCTACAAGTGCGCATGGAGTGAAGCATGGCCATGAGATGTGTGCTGATGAATTCATGGAAGTGTGAGATGGCGAGCGTTTGTACATAGACGTGTAAGTTACCCGCAAATCTGCGGAACTTTTCGGGCAACTCACATGGTGGGAGCACATTGTGTTTGTGGACGCAGCGTGCTGCCCGCAGTTTCCGTATAATCGTAACTGCCAGCCTTGCCAAATGATTGATATGATTGCTGTGTCACGGTTCCTTCTTCCGCAAAAGGTATCTTGAATTTGGCGGCAGGCTTCGACTACTGCCCGTGTCTACAGAGTCTGCATTTTCCCGTGGCTGGAAATAGCTGGAACGAGCGGAAGATGCAGATGCTGACATATCAACTTTCAATAGGGACCCGAGTTTTTGAATTTTCTAGATTGAACCATTCACGAAAGTGGAAGGGTCATCGCTTAGGCAGGATAGTGGGCATATAATCATTTCTTCGGCAATTTGGGAGATTGAGATTATTGGGTCTTCACCCTTACGATTACAGAGATTTGTTTTATAGAAATATAGAATGAAAGAATATATTTAGGGCTGTTTTTTTTCTTATGCTATGCGCTTTTTTTCTTATTCTCTCTGTGTCCCGGAAGCTGTCCCGATCCCTTATGCTGCACCGTTCCTTTTATTATGCTCCAAGGTCCTTTGGTTATGCTACCACTTCTCTCGTTATTCTCACCGTTTTCTTCTTTATGCCGACCTGTCTTTTTCCCGAATGCTTCGCAGAAGGGTTCCCGTTTTAAAGTTGGGTTGGGAGGTTACCAAACGTCGTTGCGTTGTGTCCGCAAAGCGCCCGCAAAGCGTCCGCAAGCGTCCGCAAAGCGTCCGCAAGCGTCCGCAAGCGTCCGCAAGCGTCCGCAAGCGTTCACAAAGCGTCCGCGAGTGGCGTAATGCGTGCTGTTAAGGGGGAACTGCACCGGACGCGCGCGCCCGTGGCGTTCCGAATCCGTCAAGCTAAGGGGGAACTCCACAGGGCGCGCGCCCCCGACGCGCGCCGCAGCGTTCAGAATTTGTCAAGCTAAGGGGGAACTCCACGGGGCTAAGGGGGAAGTCCACCGGACGCGCGCCGCGGTGGTGTGCCCGCGGCGCTCCGAATCCGTCAAGCTAAGCGAATCCGTAAGCTAAGGGGGAAGTCCACAGGACGCGCGCCGCTGTGGCGTGCTGTGGCGTTCCGCATCCGTCAAGCTAAGGGGGAACTCCACAAGGCGCACGCCCCCGACGCGCGCCGCAGCGTTCCGAATCCGTCAAGCTAAAGGGGGAACTCTACGGGGCGCGCCGTCAAGCTAAGGGGGAAGTCTACTGAACGCGCGCCGTGGTGGTGTGCCGCGGCGCTCCGAATCTGTCAAATTAAGGGGAAGTCCACCGGACGCAATCCGTCAAGCTAAGGGGGAACTCCACAGGGCGCGCGCCCCCCCCGACGCGCGCCGCAGCGTTCCGAATTCGTCAAGTTAAGGGGGAACTCAACGGGGCGTGCCGTCAAGCTAAGGGGGAAGTCTACCTAAGGAGGAAGTCTGTAGGACGCGCGCCGCTGTGGCGTGCCGGCCTTCTTTCTTTTATTTTTTCTCTTTTTTTCATTTCCCTTCAAATTCTTTAATTGGGAATGGTGGCGGCTTTTTTGGCATATTGGAGTGTCTTAGAGAGCCCCCAGGTTTCGTAGATTCGGTAATTCATTCTTAGGAATAAATCTTTCAAGGAATAATATATGATGCATCTAAGAAGATAATGATCGTATTAGGACCCATTAAATATCCCATCTGAAGCATTCGTTGAGCTTCGATGGTCTTATGGAATCTCCTCTATAGATCGAAATTCAATCGATCCAAATATTCTTGAAAAGAATATCCCACCGCACGCCGACAATATTCGTCGATCCGATCACCTACACCGACAACATTCGTCGACCCGATCATACAAACTAATGAATACATCCCTGGGGGGGGGGGAAAATCGCCTTACGAGAAGAATCTTGAAATATTCGTCCCCATATGAGAAGCTTATATTCCTAGAAATACGGATTACATATCGTCCAGAATTCAAAATAAATTCGTCCAGAATTCTATATCGAAGAGGTCTGGAATGGCCGATACTAAAATAAACCTTAAACCCTAAATCCTCAAGAATGAGGAGCTTCAAGGATCGGAATTTGGTCAGGGGTTTTGAGGGGAGGAGGTATGGTTAGTGACTTTGCACCGGGGAGCCATTCTTTGCTGATTTAAATAGCACGCAAGATTTCGATATTTTCAAGAATGTTTGCTCCGAAATACCTTTCATCGATGGATCAACCAATAAAAAAAAGAAAAATTCCAGATACCCCAACCAAAGCGGGAAAAGACCCTCCACTATCCCTAATTATAAGGATGGAATGCCCGGACGATCACGAGAAACAACTAGAAATACAAAAGATCCATACAAGGTGGAAAAAAATTATCCTAGTTGTGATTGCTCTCTCATGGCGGTGGCGGCAATAGTAGCCGCGAGCAGCTGCGGGAGGCAACGTGGGCGGGCAACCCCCCTAATAATGAGAGAATGATCCTAGAATCAGATGCAGAGCTTCAAATAAATTTCCATCGCATTCTACCCCACGATATGACCCATACGAATCATATAATGCAGAATATTCGCCCTATATAACCCATATTGAAGATCCCAATTCAGCCTAATCATATACTCCTGAAATACATCTCCCTAATAACGATAGTATCATTCATCGACCAATACACATATCCCTATCAAGAGAACCTCTCGAAAACGATGGGTTCATATCCCACATCATGAGCTACGCATCGCGCGGCCAAATCCTATTAATAACGCCCCCGACCGGCATATTTTATAACTGAGATAAATTCATATTCAACTATCTCTGCCAAGAACTGTTGCTGAAATGGAAATATAACCGCCAAGTCAAGTGGCAAATGAGAGAATCTCCTTCATAAATTAAATTTCAATGATAAGGGGACGTCCCATCGTTTCGAAGATTAATTGTAAACCAATCATTATAATATACCTTTCAATATTATTAAGAAACATATTATAAATACCATATTTGTTACCCTATCGTACATAACAAAAAAGATAGTGCCCGATAAAATCCATTACTTATTAAAATTAGATACAAACCTCCCCAACTCCGAAATTTATCGTATACTCACGATATCAATTAATACAACATTTAAAAAAAAAAAAACCCGGGTTAATGAAGACGTAACCATAAACCCGTACTACAATAACATAAAATCAGACTTAAATAATTACCCGGCTTGCTCTGAATCAAATTAACCTTATAGAAAGCTTGAATTATTAAAGCTTAATCTAATTCTTCATTTGGATGACTACCAATTTCATTCTTCCAAAAAAAAGAAAAATGACGAATATCGAGAGCCACAAACCTCTTCATAATCTAGAATCAACATTTAATATATACCAAATTTTATCGATAATCTTGAAAAATTATTCCTCCTTCCATACCTCAACATTAATTTAATAATTCCCTATTTTAAACGATACATCCCCCGATTCATAGCCCCATTTAACTCGCCTCAAAACATAGAAATGAAAAGATTGAATTTTCCTTCATTCGTTCGAAATAGAAAGAAACCTTATCCCTCCAAAATAAAAAAAACTAAGAAAACTAAATCCACCAATGAAAATCGCCAAGCGACACGAAGAAATCCCAATTTCGACCTTAAAATCACCTATCACCCCGAATTAAACGAAAAAGCAAAATCTCAATCAAGAAATAAAATCAAGAAGATTCATCCAGAATCTAATTCATGAAACAAAAATTAATTTCAAAATAAATTATCCATTCATAATAACCTTATATTCTTTTATCAGAAATTGCATGTCGAAGAAATTCAAAGAATCATTAAGAATTCCTTCCTTTTGAATCAGAATATATTGACGATAATTTCAATAAAGCTCAGACCAAAATCAAATCCATTATTTTCGTGAAGAAATCAAGTTCGCTAAGAAATTCGCTAAGAAATATACTATATGATATTTCATATATCCAAAAAGCCGGCTAGAAATTTAACCCCTCGTGACATTCCACGAATCATTCTCTATCCTCATTGAAAATATTTCTTCGATTGGAAATCCTAGAAAAAGGACCAAGATTGCCTATCATCGCGATGCAATCCTCAAGAATCATGTAATATTACTATTTCACGTCATTACGTTTAAAGTGGTGGCGTAATCTCCCACTTGCACTGACAGGGTATGACCTCCATCAATTGCAAGTAAAAGATTCACAGCAGGGTGTGACCTCCACTGTAGAGACGCCATTATTGAATTTGCATAACTCTTGGGCATTGCATCTCTTACGACACAAAACGCTTGTCGAGTGTCAAAGTGCAAAAAGCAAAACGCCCCACCCCACGAACATGCCTGAGAGTTCAAAACCCCATTCCAATCTTAGAATATAAGACCATGAAACAACAAAATGCCGTAATGGATTCAGAAAAAAAAAGTCCGCGCCGATTCAAAAATAGCCCTACATAAACATGGAAGCCGGCACAGCCCGCTCGAGGAGAAGCGGTTGCAGCGCAGGTTCGGTGACCTGGACGGGGTACGAAGTTGTCAACAGAATTAGGGTTTAGGGTTTAGGGCTTAGGGTTTACGGACTTTTGCTGATGCCTGAACCTTAAGTATTTTATGGGGCCCTGAAAGCTGCCTGGCCGGCGCCTCCCGTGCAGCAGCCGCAAACGGCCGTGTGCTCACTGCAGAAAGAGCCTCTAGGTTTTCGCTTCAGCATCATAGGGGCCCAGGGGATCCAGGCTATGTTTCAGGGGCTCCAAACGTGCTCTTGGCAGCCCATGTCCAACTTGCAGCAGGGGCCTCCCAGGTTGTCGTTTACACCTATCGAGGCCCTTAATAGTAACTATCACGGGATCCAGGCTATGTTTCAGGGGCTCAAAACGGACGCACGAACGGACAGATTTTTTTCGATGTCATGAGTGTTTTTTCGATGTCGGGGCTTTTTCGATGTCGTGAGGTCTTTTTTCGATGTTATCTTGCGATGTCATGGAGCTTTTTTC